AGCAGCATGAGTTATTTGATGAGGGTGTTTTGTGCAAAAAAATCCCGCCAGCTGGACATCACGTGAGTCGTCACGTGAGAAAACTGGCCGGAAAAATCAATCCGGCTAAACTTAAGGGGTATATGACGCCGGAGTCTATATAATACCAATTTGTCAAAAGTGAAAAAAATATATCAGTATGTCACCGAGTGTCTACAAAATATACCAATTTGGCCATTTTGCCTTTCCTGACATTATTGTTAACTCTATAAACTTACTGTGCCCTTTAAATATCTTTAGTGGCTGGAACCTAACCTCCAAGATTTCACAGTTAAATTTTGACTTGCCATGGACAGTTCTCCTGTAACTGCAGTACTTGGAGGTGCACTACGTATAGGTGTCTTCCTTCAAGGCCAGAAGGTTAGATCTGACAATAAAACAATAGTTCAGCTGAACTTTCTCATCACAATAGGTGGAACAATCTGGGGTTTACTTTGAAGCCCAATTCCACGCAAGCTCCACTTCTTCCTAGTGAATGCTTCTCGGGCACTAACTAGGTAATCCTCATTTTTTTCCCTTATGCAAAGGGGGTAATACTGCTCATGCCCATCTGCAGCAGGTGAGGTAAACTTCTTGCATGCTTCGGCTAGACTTTTGGTGCGACTTTTAGTGCTGATCTTATGAATTTCACTCTTGAAGCAGTTGTGAAGGAAGGATGCAGGAATGAGAACTCAGAATCCTGGATACCCTCAGTGTACAAAGGCGCCCTTGATGTAAGCTCCCCCATTACCATGTTTTTCTTGCTAAATTGAATATATTTTTGAAAATCATGGAGATGCACATGGTATTGGGACCTTTGTTTTCTCAAAATTATGGAGATCTTGTTGCATTCTTGGCAGTTTGGAATTGGAATATAATAATAAAAGAGGATCATCTTACCTGGTCGGACAGATGATTGTAAAATGAGCCAAATTACCTGAACTTTAGGCTCTCAATGTCCAGTCATTTATCTAAACAAGCTCAGACTTTGTTTGTGCTTTCTTCATTATTAACTTTCCTGGGCAGAGACAAACCTCAAGTTAAGCCACCCCATTTTAGACGATATATGAAGAGTAGATGAATGATTTCAGTCAATTCTGTTGCATAGATTCTCATCTTTTACCGCTTCTTTTTCTCAACATTTTTCTGTTATCTGTTATCAATTCTTTATCAAAATGAACCTAGAGAAGGCATGTATATTTATTTTAGTAAATTATTTGATTTAAAGCGATATAATGGGAAGAGTAATCAACTTGCTTAACATAGATAATTCACCGAAATAGTCCACTGGGAGATATTGTTTAGTAGTGGTAATCTGGATCACTGAATTGTAGCAATGAACAATTCACTTCAAATTCTATTAGTTTTGCACCTAAAGCTTGATCAATTCACTTAGCCTGTGTCAGATCAGACTTGTTTAGATTAATTTTACATTGAATCTTGGTCTAAATGCATAAGGTCTGAATCTGCATATATACAATGTATTAATGGGATGAATTAGTGGAATGCAATTTTATTGGTGTAAAAGGTGGAGTCGATCCACAGCACCTCATTGTGTATACTGTATACAAATATCTCTCTCACACACAATTTTCTTTCAGTTTTGTTCGGTGACGTGTCTCCAAATTTTGCCCTGGCTACATGGCTGTGGTCAGGTTCGCATGAGATTAAATTAGTTGTTTAGTGTCTTACTCACGGGATTAAATTAGTTTTTTGGATACTTCTTTAGTAAATTATGCAAGTATGCAACTTTTATATCAGGCTATGAAGTTTGTAGTAATTCATTATGCCTGCATTACATTTATATATGTGATATTCAGTACTCTTTAATTATCTGCTGTGACCTTTTATCAGGCTTCTCGTCCACTACGCTTGACCCAGACCCAGAACTTTTTGAGACTGCCCAATTCCAGACATATACACTTTTGTAATGAGCTTAAATGCCACCTCATCTGATGAAGTATAAAAGCAATTGCATTAGTATGTTGCAATTTCTGGACTTTGCTTTCTCACTATCATTAACAGTTTTGACGCTCATCCTACGCTCAACTTGATTGCATATTTGTTCCTCAAGTAAGCTTCTTCAACATGATTCCTATATTCTCACACGTAAATTTCTCTCTATATAATTTAATAACAGCTTTAATAGTAGGGCTGGCTCAGTTAGTTAATGGTATTTTGTTTGGGGATTTTCTAACGGGTACCGATGGGCACTCACTAGGAGATGAGAGAGAGAGAAAAAAAATGAATAGTAAGTGGGCCCCCTGATTTGCACTAATTTCTCTCCTCACCTTTCCTCTCTCAATCTCTCATCTCTTATGCTATTGCTATGTTTAGGAGTTCACTAAAGAGAAGAGAAGGAAAGGTAAGATAGCGAAAGGAAAGGTAAAGAAGAGGAGGGAAAATATAATATCTTGTTTGGGAGTTTTGTAAGAGGAATGGAGGTGAAATTAAATTATGTTGTTTGGAGTTCTAATTATGAGAAGAGAAGGGAAGTAAATGAATTTTAGCCATTGATTCATTATGATAGACGGTCAAGATGTCTCTTTTATTAGTAAATTTTTCTTTCCTTCCCTTACCTTCCTCTACCCCCAGTTTGGAGAGGAACAAATTTGATCCTTTTTTCCCTCCCATTCCTTCCCTCACCCCTTTAAATTTTTTTTTTAAAATAGAATAACTCTCTTTTCCCCTTCCACTACCCCCATTACCCTCCATCCAAACATATGTTAATGAGTGGCCTAGGGCACCTGTTAGACAAGCCTGTTTATTTGAATCTGGTTGGGGTTTTGCTTATTACTGTAAATGGATTTTTAGTTCATTGACCTTGTTTTTCACCGCCCTTGTCTTTTGCTAGTATCAATAAATGTGAATTAGTTACATGGTTTAAATTTGGATACCTTTATCCTTAACCGTGTAAATTCAATTAATAGCAATAATAATTTTTCAACAGTTTCTGAGGAAGTCAACAGTTAATGTTTATTAACTGCAGATTTATAACAGGTAACAGACTTGACAATAACTCCAAAGCAAATACTTACTTTCCTTTTCTTAGCTATTGCACAGTAATAGTCAAACTGGGGAACAATTACTTGATTAATTAGGCAACAAGTAAGGTAATATTTTGCTTGTAGTAGTAATTGAATTGTCACATTTAGCAACGGCATAATATATCGTGTACACTTCCTCCTCCATGGTTCCCAAGACAATAGTGCATACACGTACATTATGTGAGTCTATAAATCAAGAGATCTCTCTTGTTCTTCTCCTATTTTCACAAATGGGAGTCTCTAGCCTCATCATTCTTATTCTGACCATTTTTATTCCATTCCTTGGCCATTCATTGGCAACTTGCCATCATGATGATCGCTCATTTTTTATTGAATTCAAGAAGAGCATCACTGACGACTCCTCGCGTCTTCTCGCCAGTTGGAACACCAGCACCAACTGCTGCAAATGGGAAGGCATTAGCTGCGAGATCGATCCAACAGCCGTGTCGTCAGCCTCAGCCGTACAGGTCTCTTCTCTAGCGACGATGGTCCTGTTGACACTTGAATGACTGGGACAATTCCTCCGTCGATCTCTCGCCTTGCTCATCTTCGAATTCTCGACCTCAGCAATCTCAAATACCTCTATGGCTCCATTCCTCTGCTTGGCCAACTCACTTCCTTGGTTGAGCTTCACCTTCATATTAACAATCTCACAGACCCAATTCCTTATACTTTTGGCAATCTCGTTAATTTGCAAACGCTCAAACTCAGCTCTATTCAGTTGTCTGGCACAATCCCTCCATTGATATGTTAGATATAGGTTCCATGCAGGTAATAATTGTATATTGTAACAGGACCTATATGAATATAACATTCTTGTTCAAAATGATAGTATGCTATTTTGGTCAGACTTATCTGGTATTTTAATACAGATAAAGTCCTTAGAATGATACTAGACTATCAGACATTTTGGATATGATCGTAATGAAGAGATATGATTTGTCGCTGACGTACGTATATTCTAAAATGTTTCTAGTCGATGAAGTGTTGAAATGAGACATCATCACTTTGGGAAGACTAGTGTATACTCTATTTCTCCTTTGGTAGGATGATGATCCATCTATTGGATCATTGATGTGAGATATCAAGATATAGTATACAGGTGACTCATTAGTGAATGAGTTGACTGAATGACTCACTGAGAACGTCTAGTTGGTAATTATACTTAATTGTCAAATAGAAGTTCTCAAGTGATATAGTACAAAGTAGTCTCTTGACCTGAGGTATGAATGCAATATCTTAATGTCAGTATATGTGTACTTAGACTTTTACCTAATCACAGTTCTTATTGAGTTGTGCATAACGATTCTTATTGGGTGCATCCCGAGGCATAAGTAGATATTAAGATGCTAAGATGAGATTCGTCTCTCCCAGTATTGGGTGTTGATGTCATAAGATTGTTTGATATAACTATAGCCTGAAAATCCTTGACCAAGGTAAATAAGATAAACTGAGTGTTAGTTTGATCTTAAAGGTTATGAGTTTAATATCAACAAATACTAATCGAGCTATTAGGGTTTGACAGTTTTTCATACCCTAGGCTCTATAGTTTGACATGGTTTGACGAAGAGACCGGACTATTATGTTATCACTGAGTGGTCCTGATAAAATTGTGTAAGCATATTGTAGTCATTTACACAACTTATACCCGGATAGTCTTCATGTGTAGCTAGTACCTTTGTTGTACTTATGGATATGATCCACTGCCGAGTCTTAAGTTGGGCCCTAGAGTCACACCAAACGCGTACTTGAATCCTATGAAATACAATTTATAGAGTTAAATGCGTATGATTGATACACATATATGATTTTCACCGGATACACATAAATCGTTATATGTATCGGTAAAATCAGAATGATATGTGCTTAAGAAATGAATTCTAGTATTTTTCTAAAGTTAAACTTTTAGTCAACTGGTTGACTTTTTGGTCAACAGTTGACTTTTGGTCAACTCATTGATTTTTTTGGTCATGTGATGACTTATTAGTTAATGATTGGAAAATTACGCAATACCGTATTTATAAAACACCGTATTGATATGGTATTTTTATTTATGAAATACACACTTCATTATACATTGTTTAATGAGTCATGATATGAGTCATTAAGGTGGTATGGTTTGGGAACATGGTTTTAGCACATAGTTTTGATTCTTCATGACTCTTTGCATGACTATGAGATGAGTCATTGCATGACTCATGAGATGAATTATTACATTTAGATGACTCATGGCATGACTCGTGAGATGAGTCATGACATAGCTCACTCTATATATATGAGCTCTCTTTCTTATGGAAATGTTAATGAAAAATTGGCTAAGTGGTTTTTTCCATAAGAGAATAAAAGAGAGCTCTACTTCTTACTAAACTCTAGCAATTTTTGAGTAAGAGGAAGTAGTAGGATTTTAAAGTACCCCGGTGTGGATATCTTACCTTGTGTCTCAAGAAAACTCCGATTTTATCAAGCTCACTTGAAGACTTAGAGATCCACTACAAGGAGGTTTATAACAAGGAAAACGAGCTAGGGGTTGTTCGATCTACCATCGAATCACGCTACGAAAGTAAGCCTTCGAAGCTCTTGGTTGATCTACCATCGAATCACGCTACGAAAGTAAGCCTTCGAAGCTCTTGGTTGCTCTCTTTATTATAGGGATCATGTTAGATTTAATTAGGATGGAGCCTTCGAAGCTCTTGGTTGCTCTCTTTATTATAGGGATCATGTTAGATTTAATTAGGATGGTCCTAGCTTGTATTCATGTTCTCTACATACTTAGTATTATTATACATATAGTCTTCCGTTGCGTATTTAACATGTAGATTAAGCACGGGATCTCCAACATGATATTCTCGGCTCCTATACATCTCACTGAGCTCAGTATGTCGGAAAACCAGCTCTCTGGTTTTCTCCCTCCATCCATCAGAGGGCTAAAATTACTCGATACTCTCGATCTTCACATCAATAATCTCAACGGAAGCTTACCACTAGATATCGGTATGCTCAACAAACTGACATATCTCGATATATCTCAAAACCGGCTTTCTGGTAGTCTTCCTGAATCAATCGGAAATCTCAGCAAACTCGAAGTTCTGTATCTGGATCATAATCGATTGTCTGGTGATATTCCATCATCAATCTCCGGCATGACCTCTCTTGCAATCCTTCGCCTGAGCAAAATAACCAGATCACTGGAAAGATACCAGATTCAATCACTGGCGTCACTCACCTCGAACGATTGTTTTTAGATAACATTCAGATCACTGGAGAAATACCAGCGTCAATTAGTAGTCTCGTCAGGCTCTCCGTCATCTACCTCTCCAACAAGCAGAATACTCTTAAAGTCTCGACGACATGGGGCTCACTTACCTAGATCTTTCAGGAAACAATCTATCAGGCCCAGTTCCTACTAGTCTCTCAAAACTCAGAAATCTCTGGCAGTTTGGTCTCTCATTTAACCCTCTTGTAAACCTAACCATCCTCCCAAGTTGGATAGGTAACTTGCCTCTGCAGGTACTGAGGATGGCCAGCGTTGGACTTGTGGGTCCCATCCCTGATTGAATGTTGGAATTGAATGGTGCTCTCGGCGATCTTGACCTGTCGAGTAACAAGTTATCAGGAGAAATTCCACAGTGGATCAGCGACATGCCCTACATCTACTATGTTAACTTATCCAACAATGCCTTTGAGTCCAGGTTACCTGTGGGATTATTCAAGAATACTGGCATGTTGGTTAAGCTCAATCTCAGCAACAACAGATTTACTGGAGGAATTGATGAGGATATCGGGGAATGGCCTGCGATGCCGAGGATTGAATATTTTGACGTGCCGAATAACCCTTTAGGAGGAGTGGTACCAGAGTCTATGAGGAAGATGAAGAGGTTGAGGGAGGTGAGGATGGCGAGAAGTGGGTTAACGGGTCAGATACCAGAGGACTGTTGGACTTGGGGTGGCTTACTCTGTTTGACGTGTCAGATAACGGGTTATCTGGTCCAATACCGAATCACAATGCCAGTGTTGCGGCCGAGGGGTTCAGGGGGAATCAGGGACTTTGTGGGGAGCCATTGCCACCGTGCAAGTTGTATGGTTGATTTCAGTTTGTAAAATGGTCTTTATTAGAGTCTGGTTGGGGATGCTGATGATTTGATTTCATTGACCAGTGTTTCACCCCCTTGTGTTTTGCTAGTTAATCAATCCATAAATTACTTATCTGGATCAATGTATGTGTTAATAATAGTGTATTGTATTATGTTTTAGTCCCACATTGGTTGTGAGAACACACCTCACCCTCCTCTACTTGTATAAATATATGTGTACACTCAATATTCAACTTAAGGGAAATTTACTCAAGACTTTCTCTCTCTTACTTTAACATGGTATCAGAGCTAGGGTTATTATTTCCCTTCCAATAATTTTTTTTAACGCTTTTGCGTTTTTTTTTTTTGCCAAATCTTGGCCTTGCTGCTTTGCAGTCGTTTAACGCTTTATTGCGTTCCTCTGTCAGATTTTTGGCGCTCTTAACGCATTTCGCGTTCTCGTTTAACCTTCGGGTTCCATTTTAATCTTCGGGGTTATATTTTAAACCTTCGGATTTCATTCTAACCTTCGGGTTCCATTTTAAACCTTTGGGTTCTATTTTAACGGGATTGCCGTTTTAAGATCATCTCTTGATCTCAAATTTACGGCATAGCCATTTTTCAAGACCGTCTCTCAGTCTCAAATTAACGGCATCGTCGTTTTAAGCCGTCTCTCGGTCTCAAACAAACGACATTGTCGTTTCACAGTCAGTTACGACATCGCCGTTTCAATCCATCTCGACGTCTCAACGTCTTAACATCGGTATTAATCCGTTGTAGGTCTCCAGTATGAGCATCAGATCCGACCGATCTTCGGGCCACCTTGGTCGCCGGTTGCTTCTTTTTTCTCAGATTTGACAGTCATTTTAACCTTCGGGTTTTTACATTAACCTTCGGGTTCTCCTTTATATATTCGGATTTCGTTCAAGGATTATTATCTTGAACTTTGAATTGCTGCTATTATGGCCTCTTCATTGGCACCTGCTTCTCAGGCTCGGTCTAAGCTCTTTTGCACCTATTATAAGGAGGGACACCACTTTGAGACATGTTTCCAGCTTTATCCTGAGTTATGTTCCTCAGGAACTGACCGTAGTCAGCGATCCCCTCAGTCCCGATCCTCTAGTGCTCTAGGATTACCGATCAATGTTATGCCATCTATCACTTCAGACCTTATCATTCAAGCTATTGCAGATATTACCGTCAAATTGCGGCTCTTCAGTATATCATCTTCATCTGCTGCAAAACTCTCTGATATTCGCCGTCAAATTGAGGCTCTTCAAGCTATTGCAAATATTAGCTATCAAATTATGGATCTTCAGCATACTACCTCTCCATCTGCTGCACAACTCACTGATATTCGTTATCAAATTGATGCTCTTCGGCATAGAGCCTCTATATCTATTGCACAACTCTCTGGTATGCGTCTTGCTGGTTCTTCAGCCAACCCTTCGGTCTCTAGTATGAAGGATTTCTGGATTTTTGATTCTGGTTGTTCCTTTCATATAACTCGTAATGTCTCACTCTTATCTTTTGTCTTTACTTCCTCTTCTCTTTCCCCTATCTACACGGCTGCTAGACAACCTTTGTCTATCACTCAGTATAGTTCTATCACCCCACAAATTGACCCATCTGGTCATTTAACTCTTGGTCCCGTCTATGTGGCTCCTCAATTGTGTTTGAATTTAGTTTCTGTTATGGATGACCTACTTGTCTTATTTTCTTCAGATACTTGTATTGTGTAGGATCCACAGACAGGCAAGACTGTTGGGGCCGGTCGGAGGAGACACAAACTGTATTTTCTGGAATATTTTCACCACCCAGAGTCCATACGTCCACATTCTTTTATTGCTTCTGTAAGTCCAAAATCCTCTATCTTGTTTTCCACAGATTTGTGGCATGAATGATTTGGTCATGTGTCTCATAAAAGGCTGGAAAGTCTTATCCAGTCCGAAGTACTTGGTCCCGTATCCTCTCGTTCTCATATTGAGTCATGTATTGGTTGTAAATTGGCTAAATTCACTGCTCTGCCGTTTCCAATCAGTGCATCTGTTTCCACTTTCTTATTTGATTTGGTCCATTTTGATATATGGGGGCCAGCTCCTCTGTCTTCTTTATCTGGCTACTTATATTATGTTAATTTTATCGATGATTTCTCTCGTTATACATGGGTCTACCTACTTAAAACTCGTTCTAACGTACTTGCTGCTTATCAAGCCTTCACTGCGATGATCTTCACTCAATGGTAAGCTCTTCTGACTGTGCCAAAGAGTACCTATCCTCTACCATGCGCTCTATCATGTCCTCTCATGGGACTATCTTTCAACAGTCATGTCCCTACACTCATGAGTAAAATGGTATTGCTGAACGCAAACATCGTCATATCCTCGATACTGCTCGATCCATGCACATTTCTTACTCTGTTCCTCGTCGTTTCTGGGCTGAGGCCATTCTCACTGCTACTCATGCTATTAATATCATTCCAACTAGCTCTCTTTTCGGTGCTACTCCTCATAATCGTGTTTATACTCATCCTTCCCATTATGATCTGGTCCGCGTTTTTGGTTATCGCTATTTGGTTCTTCTGTCATCTCACGAACATGATAAATTGTCTCACAGAGTTGTTCTCTGTGTCTATTTAGGAATTAGTTCAGAACATCGAGGTTATCATTGTTATGATCCCGCATCTTGTCGAGTTCATACATCTCGACACGTTCAGTTCGAAGAGGATTCTCCATTTTATTCTGCTTCCGACGATTTCAAGTTTTCCTCCACACTACTGATCGTGCTTCTCCGCTAGCTGTATCACCCACTTTCTTATCTCAGTTCTCCTTTCGAGATCTCCCTGAAATCTCTTCATCTCCTTCTGTTGACTCTCCATCATCCGAGCCTTCTCTTCCACCATCTGATCCCTATCCTGTAGACACGACACCCACTCTAGAAAATATTGTTAACCTCCATGCACCTGCGCCAGCATCTTCCCCGTCTGAGGTTCCTCTTGCTCTTCGTCGAGGCAAACGCCCACATGTCATGCCTGTACAGTATGCTTCGGTTACTTCCTATTCATCTATCTTTTATAATTTTCTTGCTGCCATTCATACTACAGTTAAGCCAAAGTCTTTTCAAGAGGTTGTTTAATTTTCAGAGTGACGACAGGCTATGACTAAGAAATTTCAGGCCTTTCAGCAAACACATACCTGGGATGTTGTTCCCTGTCCCCCTGGCATCTCTTTAGTTAGCAGTAAATAAGTTTATAAGATCAAGTATCGTCCTGATGGAACCATTGAATGTCGGAAAGCTCGTTTAGTGGCTTGAGGTTTTACTCAGCAATAATGTATTGATTATGAGGAGACCTTTGCTCCTGTTGCTCAGATGCCCACCATTCGTACGCTTCTTGCGGTCACTGCTGCTCATTGTTGGCCCTTATACCAGATGGATGTCAAAAATGATTTTTTTCATGACTCTTTATCTGAAATAGTATATATGCAACCGTCTCCAGGGTCCAATATTCTTTTGGGACATTTATGTTTCCTTCGTCGTACTGTTTATGGTCTCAAGTAGGCACCCCGCGCTTGGTTTGAGTATTTTCGCAATATCGTGCTCAAGGCGGGTTTTATGAAAAGTCATCAAGATGCTTCTCTATTTGTTCGCACTACATCGCGTGACAGAGTTTTATTACTCATCTATGTAGATGATATAATCATTACAGGTGATGATGTGGTTAGTATACAGTACGAAAAATCCCAGTTGTAACAACAGTTCCACATGAAGGATCTTGGATCTCTTTGGTATTTTTTTGGTCTAAAAATTTCTTAAGGCCCGCGGGGTGTACTACTGCCTCAACAGAAGTATATCTCGGGTATTCTGGATCGAGCTGAGCTAACTGACGATATAACTGTCAATACTCCACTCTAACAGAATGTCAAACTTCGTTCTACTGATGGTGAGCCTCTATCTGATCCTACCCGATATCTACATCTTGTTGGTCAGTTGGTCAATTTGTGCATCTCTTGACCAAATATCTCTCATGTTGTTGGCATTATCAGTTAATTTGTTAGTACCTCACATTCTGCACACTATGCTGTCTTATTACGGATTCTTCGGTATCTCCAGGGTACTGGCACTTGCTCTCTTCTGTTTCCTGCTATATCCAAGTTAGAGATTTGTGCATATTCTGATGCTGATTGGGCTAGTAATCCCACTATCTGAAAGTCTACCACAGCTTATTGTATATTTCTTGATGATTCCATAATTTCCTGACGGAGTAAGAATCAAGATGTTGTTGCTCTTTCCAGCACCAACATCTTGATGTTGTTGCTCTTGATGATTCCCTAATTTCCTGGCAGAGTAAGAATCAAGATGTTGTTGCTCTTTCCAGCACCAAGGCAGAGTATCGTACAATATCCACAACAGTTAAAGAGATTATTCATCTTCGTCATCTTCTCAGTGATTTCGGTATTTCTGTTTCGACTCCTACTTCTCTATACTGTGATAATAAGAGTGTCATCCAGATTGCTAATAATCCAGTATTTCATGAGAGGACCAAACACATTGAGATGTGATAATAAGAGTGTCATCCAGATTGCTAATAATCCAGTATTTCATGAGAGGACCAAACACATTGAGATCGACGCTCATTTTGTCAGTATTTCATGAGAGGACCAAACACATTGAGATCGACGCTCATTTTGTCCGTCAACAAGTTATCAAGGACAAGACAATTCTACTTCCTCATGTGTCATCTACCGACGAGCTTACAGATTTCTTCACAAAGGCCTTACATATTCATCGGTTTTAGTTTTTTATACACAAACTCACTTTGTTTGATCCAACATGAGTTTGAGGGGGACTGTTGATAATAGTGTATTGTAGTAGATTTTAGTCTCATATTGGTTGTGAGAACACACCTCACCCTCCTCTATTTGTATAAATATATGTGTACACTCAATATTTTTTTTTATCAATGAATAAAAATTTTATTCATCACCAAGTATGAGAAGTTTTGTACATATCAAAGTTACAAATCAACAG